GATTCAAAACAGACAAAATGGAGAATATAAAGCTAAATCTAAGGAGGAGGAGTTGCAGTCGAATCGACGTTGTTCTGATTAGCGCTGGGATCGGGCGGATGGCTGGTCCCGGAGGTCGAGTCGCAAGCTTCATTAAATGGACACTGGCGAATGGACTCAGTCAGCACGGCCAACATCGAGGCTGGGGGAGTTAGACCATTGGGCAGAGCATAGGTTTTCTTCAAGATATCTGATCGAGCCAGAGTCCTTTCAAGTAGCCCCGACCACCACTTGTACTCGGAGGGTAGGCTAGGATCGCCCTGGAAGCTAGAAGGAACCTTGGGCAAGGCCTCCCAGATAGCCCCAGGGTCAAGCTGCTCGAAGTCGTCCTCGGCGACCTGCTCGCCGGCCTTCTGAAGGGCGAATTGAAAGCAGTCCACCCCAAAACCTTGCACCTCCTTCAAAAAATGTGGTGACCATGTGTAATCGGCCACCACTTGATCGCAGTACTCTCGAAGGAAGAGTTGTCCAGTAGTAGTGCCCAACATCATTTGCCGAGCTCGAAGAGCAACGGCATCAGCATAGCGTTTGCATTGTTGGGTGTGGGCAGCCCGTTCTTTGTCCAAGGTGGCCTCTGCCTCAGCTCGAGCGGCCTCTGCCTCTGATCGAGCACTCTCTGCCTGGGCTCGAGCAGCTTCTGCTTGGGCTCGAGAAGTTTTCTCCTGCTCGAGGGCAGCCTCCCTCTCCTTCAAGGCGGTTTTTTTTTTCCGCCGCAGCCACCTCCTTTGCCGCAAGGGCGGATTCCCTCTCCGCGAGAGCCTTATTTTTGTTTGAGAGCTCCACGTCAAGTGACTTGATCTTGACCTCGAACTCGGATTTTTGCTCGTTTTACGTCTCACGGAGCTTGGTGTTATGAGTCAGGAGAGTCGAATTTTTGTCCTGCAAGTAGCAGATATTGCTCTCCAAGCTTTTAATCGACTTCCCCGTGCTGTCTTGGTCCTCCTTAGCCAGAGGCAAGAATTGGACAAAGCCCTACAACCGAAAAGCACGAAACAGTTTAATATGTGCGTCGAAGAAGAGTGGCAGAAAGATAGTAAAGCAAATGTAAGGTAAATGATACCTGCGTAAGCCATTGCACAAGTTGGTCGCCAACTTCGGGTAACGTGGCGCTCTCCTTCTTGCGGTCGTCCTCGAAGAGGGCACACTCGAGGCGTTCAGCAACCTCATTTATAGAGGCCGATAGCAAGGATGTTGGCCTTGGAGCGAGAGGGTCAGGAGGAAGATATCCAGTGCGTCCTTGCTTGATGACCGTCTCACCCTGCTCGGTGCGAGAGCGCTTGCCCAGAGCCAACTCGCGTCCCGTCTCATTAGATTTGCCGGACTCGACCAAAGCTTTGGTCGATCCAGCAGAGGTGGTTTTGGAGGAATGTTGGTCAAGAGGAGCTTTGTCAGGGATTTTGGTCTTGGATGAGGTGTTGGGCTCGGAGAA